TAAAGTCTCTCTCTCATAGGTTCTAAGATATGCTATGTACTGTACTGTATGAACCACAGGCAGCCCAATCTTGCAAGGGTCAGTATAGTAATATATATTACAGTAAAAATGTCATAAAATATATATTTTCTGTGTTCTCCTTTTATTCCTCTTAAAAATGTCATAAAATATATATTTTCTGTGTTCTCCTTTTATTCCTCTTTTGTTGAATTAAATTTGATTTTAAAATATATATTTTAGGACTTATTTTCACTGTAGTTATACATTACTATACTGACCCTTGCAAGATTGGGCTGCCTGTGTATGAACAACTTTTAAAGGGATAGGTATTATTCGAGTTAAGCCCCAGCCACGCCCTTTTTCGCCGGGGGCTAACTCGATGAACATAAGGTTGTTTTAGTATTTCGAGTTAGGCCCCCGGGGCTTGACTCGAACTCAATAGCGATTTGAGCATTCGAGTTAAGCCCCGACATTCCATATATGTCCAATATAGCCATCTGTTATCGGATCGTTACGATCCGTAACTTTCAATACAGATGGTCGTGCGGCATATGCGTTAACTGCCTCCCTTTTACATCAGACATTAACATGATTACAACCATCCCTCGTTCTTTAAGAAACACTATATTAACTAAACATATATTTTAATTACATCAGACATTAACATGATTACAACTATCCCTCGTTCTTTAAGAAATACTATACATACGATCCCTCGTTCTTTAAGAAACACTATATTGATTGACTAAACATACATTTTGATTGCATCGGACATTAACATGATTACCTTTAAGAAAGACTATATTGACTAAACATACATTTTGATTTTATCAGACATTAACATGATTACAACTATCCCACGTTCTTTAAGAAACACTATATTGACTAAACATACATTTTGATTATATCAGACATTAACATGATTACAACTATCCCTCTAGTTGTAATCATGTTAATGTCTGATGTAATCAAAATATATGTTTAGTTTATAATATAGTGTTTCTTAAAGAACGCGGGGTGGGTGTAACGACACGTGTATATACTCGCAAAAATATTTGCGTAATTATAAGATTTTATAAAGAGAGGAATTTTTATAAATGAAACAAAACAACATATAGAGTCGAGTTGAGGTTGTAGAAAGGCTAGTCTAATTATAGGCACATTATGGCAATGTTTTTACGGAGGAAATCCGACAGAACTTAGGTGGCGAACATACTTCTAAGCTTTTAACGAAAGTGAGGTTCTCTTATTTCACGATCTCGTTTGTATAAGACTGTAGGCAAAGCAATAGAGATCTTACTAAAATACTAAAATGTATTTCTTAAAGTTGCTGAAAATAATTTTTCTATAATTTTTACATTCTCCGTCCTTAAATAAAGATGCTGTAAAGTCCGTTCTGCGCGTGAGTTCTGCTCATAACAAGGGGGGACCCGCAGATATAAACATTGCCCAAATTTTGCATCTTTCGAACTGTTTTGAACTACATGAATTGAAACGTAGAGTTTATTATATTCATTTACAAGCATAGCGAACCAGAAAAGTGTTAGATATTCAGTTAGTATATCGTATTTTACAAAATAATATAGCAGTTCAAAATGTAAACAAAGCGTTTAACTTTGTTTACATTATGAGTTGACAGCATCTTTAATATTTGCGATTGAGTTCGAGTTATAAGCCCCGGCGCCTGACTCGACTCAGAGCTTTTACATCGAACTCGCTATTAAAGTTTCATCTGGATTAGTAGCCTAACTGTTATTTTGATGCAATTTCACTTGGAAAATTATCGTGATTTTGGAAGTGTTTTAATCATGAATTCTGTCACATTTAACTGTGAGAATTAGAGCAATTTTTGGAAGAGTTTATATGGTGTTAATGCGCTGATCAAAACGAAGGTGTAACATCCCCCTTCCCTGCATATACCCGGGCATTTGACGTTTTTGATTTTTCAATGATCAAATCCCCCACCCAAAGTCAAAAAACGAAGTTCAAAACTCAAATGCCCTACATCCACAACCAAGCGGTGGTCAAATGTCCTGCGCATTGTATATTATTTAATTTGAAGGTTAAAATTTTTCAACTTGCAACTTCCCCAGTCCATTCTGGTCCAAACAATTTAATAAAAAATTCGTCATTTTTTTGAAAACACAAAAGCAAAAAATGTGCTTTTGATTGACACGTTAAGGCCTGTGGTTTCTTGTGTCAGCGGGAAGCAAGTCTATCTATAATAGTCTTCATTTTAAAGTCCCATCTCAACGATACGACTAGTCGTATACGATTCTTATCCTGGTGTATGAAAACGATTGCTGACACCACACTATTCCTGTTCATCAGTTTACGGCGAAATTTGAAAATATGACATCTTTACACGTATTTATTAAAATACATACGCCAGGATAAGAATCGTATACGACTAGTGGTATCGTGTAGATGGGCCTTAAGTAAACTAAAAGTTTTTTAGTTGTGGTCAAATCCCCGTCCGTATTATAAGTGGAATCAAATCCCACCACATTAAATTTTCTCAGCAACAATGCCCGCCCTAGGCCCTAGGGAAAATCACGAATGGCAGATGGGAAATGTTACACCTTCGTTTTGATCGGCGCATGGAGATATCTTCTATAGCGTTTTAGCCACAAATGGACCTCTTCGGAGATCAAAACAACGTCATAACATTTGACATAGGTTTTTAGAGATTGAAAGTAGATTTAGTAGGATGAAGTAAAGGTATATTCCTAGAGATTTTGCTAAAGTTAGCTAACTTAGAATAAATTCATTCATCTACTGTACTGATACATTACATTTCAGTAGATATATGACTTTAGTATTTTTGCACAAGTGAGCATAACAGATCCTACACATTGATTGGTCAAATTTGACGTATTAAGCTGTTATATTCACTTACAGGTGAATATTCACTTACAGGTGAAATACCAAAACCGGCGGCTAGCCGTTTTATGGAAGTTACTGATAAAGGATATAAGCGAAATTAAAATAAATTCAGTCTCAAAAACACTCGGTGATTATCGGGGACTATTCACCTCGACCTCGGCGAATAATTGTTAAATATTCTTCTAATTAACAGACCAGCAAAATGATGAATGAGTCTCAACGATATACATGTATGCAAGAAAGTGACAGCTGTGTCGCAACAGAAAATGTTTCTTGTCATAAAAATTTGGTGGATGCGGGAATTAAATCAAAACATGGCGACTCATCCGAGGTTTAAATTATATCACGATGCATGGCCCAAAAGACAGAAATCGATTTACTGGGGTTGTGGGCTTGTGACCCCTTCATAACTTGGCAAAGGGAGGGAGTGTAAAGGGGTTGCCAATTTTCTTAACCAATCATTTTTTTATTCACAAATGCAATTACAAATTTAAAGCATAAAACAAAATAAAATAAAGAAAAAGTGAGATACAGTAGTAACATGATTCTGACATTGTCAGGCAATAATACTAAGTGCCTCGCTGCCGTAGCTCCCTCTAGTGTTTACACACTTGGTGAATGGACCCTGAACCATGATGGTCTGTTAATTAGTTAGCAGCCTCATTGTTAGTAAGTTGATATTTCTTTGCCAGTACAAACTGTAAATTTTTGTTGATTTGTTCAGCCACTTAGTGATGGTAGTGACTCTGATGGATATCTAACATGCGATGAACGTGGTGATTCATCAGATGATGAAAATGGTGATCCACAAGCCGTGAGTACTTGTTGTTGTAGGCCGTGGGCTATGTGATCAAATTGTTTCGTTTCGTGACCCCCCTCTGTGAAATAGAACATTTTTGCATAATAAGAATCCTTGCTACTATTTATCTCTACAAAAAATTTCCCAAGAAAAATACCTGCCCATTCTCTACCGGGTGTCCCAAAAAAAAGTACTCCGGTTTGATTCTTAATAACTTCTAAACAAGTAAAGCTATCAAACAGAAATAACTAGCATTAAATAGAGGAAGGACTAACTTAGATTTTGATATATTGCAGTTGTATTTTACTTAAAAATTCACGGAGATATTAATGTTCAAAATCGGGAGCATATTTTGGGATGTGTCTAAAATTAGCGAAAAACGGCATATCAAATATTAATTCCAGCGTTTGTTTGCTTAATGACATATCAGGCTATTATAAACTTGTATTTCAGCGAATTGTCGTTAGGGTTTATAAGGGATATGGCGTAGATTTAGACATCTTACATGTAAGTCTCAGCTCATTGTTTCCTGAAATATGAACGGAATTATGCGGGTATTTAATAGGTCTTTACAAACTTAAAGGTACATGCATGAAAGCGGACGATGCAAGTTAAATTTTTCTTAAATATAGCCTAATTTTTTTATGTTTTTCATGGGTTCAAAACAAAGTTGATTATTTCTCGGTTAGAGCAGGATAAATATTATTCTTTAATGAATTAGGAAATAATATTGCTTTTTGCAAATACACATCACAGAATCAACGCTACTATTTTGTTACGTTTTGTTCCAAAAATGTTGGATGTCTCTGGGGAGTTGCTCGTTATGTCTTATGGAGTTGTATGGTTTGATTGTGTTTTATTCTCAGTTTATTCTGAACTTGCCAAGATTAAGAAAAAGCAAAAGAGTTTGGGTGTTCTTAACAAAATTTCAAAACGTTGCAAAAGTTAGAACTTCACAATTCCATTGTGACAACATACCCTAATTCAGAACTACGAACGATCCATGACGATTATTCGCGATACCGTGAGTGGCCTCATGAAATAAGGAAACGTATTCGTGCTAGCAACATGCACACGCGGATTTCGGACGAATATATCTTGCTTGTATTTTGTAGATAATAATACTTTGTTTCATAATAAACAATTTGTCAAGTGTCATTTATTTACTGGTAATAGTGCATGTTTTATAGTCGGGCAAATCTTTGATTAATATTTGATACGCCGTTTTTTGCATATTTCAGACACATCCAGAAATATGCTCCCGATTTTAAACATTAATATCTCCGTTAATTTTTACGTGAAATACAACTGTAATATATCAAAATCTAAGTTAGTCCTTCCTCTATTTGATGCAAGTTATTTCTCTTTAAAAGCTTTACTTGTTTAGAAGTTATAACAAATCAAACAGGAGTACTTTTTTTTGGGACACCCGGTAGAAATCTTTACTCAAAGTCTCCGAAATCGAAGCTTGATATTTTGGCCGCCGTTTTGAATAATTGAATTCTGAGTGATTGTATTTAGTGAAATTTACTCTCCCCAGTTTTTTTCTACCCGGTTTAGCCCGAATTTAAGGAAAATTCGGGTTAGATGCAGGCTAGCTGACTTCCTTAATTCGTTATTAAAACCCGCATTAATTAAGAGCAAGTAAAATGTTTTTGCCAAAAAAGGCGAGTACGCGAGCTCAGAAGTCAGCTGGGATAGAGTGTTTAAATGGGAATTTTTCGCCCCGTTTAGACGAGATCCCGGCAACAGATGTCACGATCTCGCCTATGCGGGATGGAAGCGGGATTATATACATAAACACTCAATAGAATTTATATTACAGGCGGGATCTCGGCAACTGTCCTGTGCCGGTTAAGCGGGATCATATAAACAGGCCCTGAACATAAGCTTACCTTATTCTGGGAATACTGCAGCAACACTGTATAACGCGAATATGCAGGGAAATGTTCCAGTTCGATTGTCTTTAAAAAGCGGCAAGGTAACACGAAAATCCTGAATCCTTTACTTATTGTCGCACAAGGTTCGGCACATCCTATTATATTTCTTTTCATTGGAAAAAATTAAACGTCCTCACTTTCCACGTCCGATGCTAAGTATTCGGTGGAATCGTCGCACGGGTATTCTTCGTCGTCTGAATTATTATCAGGTACTGTATTTACGCAATTCTGGCATTTACACTGCTCTGTGCACCCATGGATAATAAAATAAATGGATAGGAAACTAGCTGACGTGACCTAATGTTTTCAATGGGCTGATGGCGTGATTGGATGTTGAAACCTAGTTGCAAACTAAATTCTCAAAATCGGAATGTTTAGCAATAATACAGCTAAAAATTTTAGTCAAAGAGCAAATGAATATAACCACGCCATTCTACGATGAAATCTCTAAGTATTCCCAGTCAATTTTAGCAAATATTTCAAGCACTAAACAGTGAAAAAGGCATCCCAAATTTCGTTAGAATTGGGGACGCCAATTTCGTAGCTACAAATGTAAAAAAAAATACAAAACAAAGACGAAAAACATTTACCTTGAATACTTTGTCGTGGCTTAGGCATGTTTTTTAAATAATTAGACCAGTTTATGCTTCAATATTACTCTTTTAAAGCGGAAAATATAGCGAAACAACAAAAATGCCGAGAACTTTGCAATACGCGTGACGTCACAGATTGCAACTAGGTTGTTTTTGCTTACGACAGCTAGAGTCCTATCCATTTATTTTATTATCCATGATGCACCGTAGTCCTGCTTTTAAACAAGAACACCTTTGTGTGCTGCAGCCTTTCTTGCATCCACAATTTACAAATTCCAGTAGTTGACAGTGGCGTGCTGGGTACTATTTTTCTTGGGGGGGCAGTTGGCTGTCAACCAATTTGCGCCCCTATAATTTTACGCTTGATAAACGAGGGCCGAAGGCACGAGCCGAGCGTCGCAGGTGCGAGGTTTGTCTGGGGGGGGGGGGTCCGGGGGCATGCCCCCAGGAAAATTTTTGAATTTAGAGTCTCTGAAATGTCATTTCCTGGACTTTGGGGGAAGATTTGACAGAATCTGATGGTCAGGAAACGGCATTATAACGTGTTGAAATTTGCAATTTGGTTAGAATTTAGTGGTAGTATTTAAATTGGGCAATGCTAACTACTACCTGCCTCGTCCCCAGGCGCTAATTAAAAATTTCATGCGAGTCACTATATGAAAGATTTACATGAAGTAGTGCATCGTGATGAACAAGCGCTGGGGGTTATGGGCTTGAGGCATCAAAATTGAGGAGCGCCTGGCAGATCTTGTGCCGTTTCTTGCAAAATTCGTCTGTTTCTTGCAAATCGTGGTTTTTCGACAGTTTGGGGGCTTTTTTCGCCATTTTTTTTGAGGAAACAACATTTCAAATTGTTCAATTAAACATGTGATTACAGTCAGATGATATTTGATATCTTTTAACGCTTTGAATGATTCCGAGATGTCAACACTTGAAGAGTTCTACGAGGCTGTAGAAGCCGGTTTATATAATAAATTTACAAGGTATGGAAAAATGACAATGAATTTTTATCACAACGAGCAATTTATTTTAAAAATATACAGCTACAACACGTTTTTTAAACAAGGGAGCGATGAAACTTTATCTTGAATTGCATTTGCAAGATTCGTCTCAGGATTTCAGTTACGAGCTTATTTACATGCAGTATGTTTGATTTTCACGATGCAAACGATCGACAATATTTTGAATAATTCAGATAAGGATAGCTTTATTTCTTTGTGGTGATATAC